ATAAAATGTATGTTTCTAGGAAAAAAAAACAATAGTAAATGAGTTGATGTCTGATGAGATTGATATATTGGGTTACATAAGATTAAATAGACAATTTGAAATTTCTTATAAACGTAAAAATGACGAAGTTGTTGGTAGTTTATGTAATTATTGTGGTGTTCGTTGGATGCATTTTATATTCCAAAAAAATATACAATGCATCAGGATATCATGTTTTATGGTAAACAGAGCATTATATAACTCAACATATCCATCTTATCAGCTCATTTAATGACTGGGTGTCCAGGTCAGGAATGAAACCGGTAAAATATATGTTATAGGAAGAAAATGGTCAAATCATGACCAAATTTTAGTTTGTGAGTTATTCATAAATTAGGATAAAATAATATGACTTTAATGAAACCAGATAAGTAATGAAACCGGTAAACCGGAAAAATTGGGTCAAATCGTCATTTTTACCGGTAATTCATGCTTTTTAGTAAGCAAATTTTAGTTAGAGATTTTTTCGTTAATTAGGGTAAAATTTAATAACTTTTTCGAAGATTTCCCTCTTTTAAATGGTAAGTTGCAATGAATGTTAGGGTTTAAACCCTATACATTTTGTGTAATTTTGTACCTTAACGGCTCAACCACTATGTTTTCATTACGGGCCAATGATTATGTTTTTTACAGACAAATAGATGAATTTCAAAGCAATCTTATGTATTTAATTTCAGATCATTTTTTATTTAGCCTTTACAAAGTAAAGTTCAATTAAATTTTTAAAAGACACCATAAGTTCTGCGTACATTTTCATTCTTATTGGTAGGAATAACATTAAATTTAAAACAAACCCAAAAGAAATTTCCATGATATTTATGTGCAATAAAAGCCAACAATTCAAGTATAAATATGAATGAAGGGAGAGTAGCCTTTGACTCCAACGTTGTTTAATGTGATTGACTTTAGTCAAATACGTCAATGCTTCCCGGAATAAGAAAATATATTTATATTTTGTATATCAAAATGAAATCAATATGATCAACATTTGATAATAATTACCAAAAAAATCAAAAATACAAAGATACCATGAATTCTGCATAAACTTTCATTCAAGAAACTTTTTAGTTTATAATTTATCAATGTTTTTGCTACGAACAGTTTATAATTTAATCAATGTTTTTGTTAAGAACAAAGTAATGGATTTTTTACGGTAAACTTATAAATGTTAAAACAAAACATTTAAAAGGTTGAATGAGAAATGTTAAAGATATGGACTCGTGGATAGCTACAGATCTTGAAATTCAAAACCAGGTTACCATTCTTAAAACTCTTCTGGACATGCAAAATAGAGAACGTTTTAGATTTGGCTCAAAAAGCCAAAATTTAGTGGAATATTGAAGGGGATGAAAACTCTTGATTTTTTGATGTATTATAATAAGCAAATGAGACAAATGGCAGGTTGGGGATCATGATTGATGGTACTTGGTGTGTTGATCCGGAATTGGTAAAAAACACTTTCATTCTTTTTATGCGACCAAATGTATTTGTAGAGAGACATTTTCATTTTTCAAGATAATTGGTTGTTTAAACGACTATCTTTTGTGCATGTGTCTTATTGGGATGGGCAATTTGACGGAGCATGAAATTTAGGAAGTTGTGTGGAATTGCGGAAATGATAAGTCCCCGGGCCCCGATGGTTTTACGTTTGGCTTTAAAATGTTGTAATTTATCATTCATCGTCACTTTGATCCTGAAAATTCAAGATCTTATATTTGTTAAGAATTTAGGCTCATTGACCTAATTGGTTTTCAATACAAGATTGTGGCAGCGAATACGGGTAGTGAAACATCTTATTTTCCTTCAAATACCTTCCTTGATTTTCCTTTAAATACCTCGATTTGATGGTGGGAAAAAATATGTCTAAAGTGAACAATTGGAAATTTATTATTGACCGGTTTATGAAAAAACTTTCTAACCGGAAAGCTTCTATGTTTTCAATTGGTGGCCATTCATTGTTGATAAAAGTCATTTCGGATAGTCTTGGCATTTACTGCATGTCCATTTACAAAGTCCTTATTGGTGTGTGCAACATTATTGAGAGATTAAGGGTTATGTTAGTGATTTGTTCTTCGAGCAATACTTGTGTCTTTGACCGAGGTAAGTTTTAGATGGATGAAATGTTTTTTTAAACAACCATATATTAAAAGGACACTAGCAAGTTGGTAGGTTAAAAAAATCCAATTACAAACTATTAAGCGGTTGTTGAAGCCAACAAACCCAATTACTAGGACATTTGGTATTTCTATTTTGTACCACATAAAGATAACTCTATAATATAATCAAATATCTCGTCTCTTCTCAACGCCTTATCAACAAAAAAAGCATACCATTCCTGTATTTCCTAATATACCAAATCATTGTACCAACAATAACATCCACCGACATTATCTTTTTATTAATCAATTTTAACCAAGAGCAAACTAAACTCCGGTGGTTGAATATCCAACCATCTAAAAACCTCACTCGAGTTTCTTGCTGTAACTTCTCATCTGGCAAAGAGATGATCCAACTGATCCACCAAGGTGATCCTATATTTCCATTTCTTTTTATCCTTGCTATGAAAGGTTTACATGAAATTATTCAGAAGACTTTATTTATTGGTTTGTTCAAAGGTGTTTCTATTGGGTCTAATAGTTTTATAACTTCTCATTTGATATATGTTGGTGATGTAATCTTTATGTGAGAAGGGTCTTTACGCAATGCTAGTAACTTGATTTAGCATGTTGCGTTGTTTTTTTCTATCTTCAAGCATTAAAATAAATGTCCATAAAAGTAAGTTGTTAGGTATTGTTGTTTCTTAGAGTGAGAGTGAGATCAATGACATGACTTTGATTTTGGGTTGTGGGGCTTCAATTTTTCCTTTGACTTACCTCGATGTTTCAGTTGGTTGTAGCATGTTGCGTATTGCTAATTGGAAGGGTGTTGTTGATAAATTTAAAAATAGACTTTCTAGATGGAAGGCGCGTATTCTTTCTATTGGGGGTAGGCTGGCACTAATCAAAACAATTCTTGGGAACTTACTTACTTATTATGTTTTATATAGAATGTCGGTTGTTGTGGACAAATTTTGGAGGCTTTTCAAAATAATTTATTTACATATAGGTGGAGATTTGGAATATAGGACGATGGCATGGGTTTCTTGGAGTAAGTGTTTGGCAAGTAGAGATAGAGAAAAAAACTGGCAAATGCAACTCCCACCATCTAGCTAGAAGACTCCACAATTCCAACGCCATCTCACAAGAAAAGAAAAAGATGATTAACCATTTCAATATCAAAATCACAAATCAGACACATCACATAACCAATATCAATGTCACGTCAGTCTAAATTAACTCTAGTAGGAACCCTATTCAAATTTAACCTCCAAAATAGAATATTAACTTTGGAAGGGATGTAACAGTTCTATCTAGACGGTTGAGAAGATGACTCCAAGATTTTAGAGTCAATCATAACCCGAGTTGAAGCAACTATAAAACCCACCGTGGCATCAATCAACCAAACCCAAGAGTCATGTTCCTCCACAAGATTATCATGAGCAACACAAGACCTCAAAGAAGTATACTGAAATATCTAATCACCTCTTCTACGATACCTTCTAAAAACCGAGAGCCAATAAGAAGATTGAATCCTGTTAGAAACTATACAAGACTTCTCCAAATCTAGAGCGTAAACCCTAGGAAACTTGTCTTTTAAAGGAATAACATCGCACTAGATATCTTCCCAAAATGAAATTAAACACCCATTACCAAGCTGCGTTTACACATAGACAAGAGATCTATACCTTTCTTAGAGAGATTATCTGAAGCATTAATATTCACATTCCACGGAGAAGCAGCGGAGCTATGAGTGACCAACTTCCCAATACCACCATCAATCCCATGAATACTTCTAATGACTTTAACCCACAAGTCATGAGTATTCATTCTAAATCTCCAAATCCACTTGAACATAAGAGAACTATTTAGAGCAAAGATGCTCCCAATGCCCAAACCCCCTATGTTCAGATGTCTCTCCAAGCAAAAAGATATTTGGTTGTGGTTGTTCTTACCATGTTTTGGGCGTTATGGTCCTTTCATAACAATACGTTCAAGCAAGTTAAACCTCTTAAGGCGGTTGTATGAGATTTTATTCAATCTCAATCTTTCTTATGAATTAGTTCTAGATTTCCTAAGTTTAGAGTTAAGTGGATTTATTAGTTGCAAAATCTGTCCCTTGTAATTACTTAATGTTTTGTTCTAACGTTAGCTGGTTTTATATAATGTCGCCATTCTAAAAATATATATAATATAACTAGGAGGATTGGCTTGGATCATATTACTACATAAAGGAAATTGAAAGATAAAAAAGGGAATCGATATTGATTCAGCCCGTCATATTTTGTGATTTGGAGGTCGTGACAACTCAACATTTTTTATTCATTGATTGTGATATTGCTAAGGTGGTGTGTTGTGGCCTGGTGGGACATTATTCAAAATTTCAAATCTTTTTCGATTGGTGACATTTAAAAAATTTGTATTAACTTCAACGAATAATATTACGATTTTAATGTTCAATATGAATAATATTTTTGACCATCTCTTGTCCACAAATCACAATTAGTTAAAATCCGTTGAAATCCAGAATGACATTAAATCCACCAACAATATACCCAAAAGATTGAACAAGTCCACTATCATCCAAAATATACCTCAAAACTTACAACCTCACAAGTCATTTGAAAAAAAAAAATATTAAACAACCATTTTAATAATATCATTCTTAGAATTATATAACAACCAAAATTACTATTTTGACCCCTTTATCACACCTATCACCTACGAATGTTTCGTCTTCTACGGATAGGTAGGGCATGTCTTTCGATGTTTTTAACTGTAAATAAAAGTAAATGACATGACAAGACAAACTTAACGACATAAAACACGACTTAACAACTACAACACAAAATAAGTGAATAACCCTCAAGGAACAACGGGTTTATCATCCCAAATCTGTCTAGTTTCAGCCAATTCAGGACGATAACGTTTAGCCAATATCTCAACTTGTTCCCCAAATGTCTTGCTCTTATGATTCCCAATACAAACCACCATTTGATCCCATCTTTTCCTACAAATCTCCCCACTTCTATGCTCCAAAAGCTCATCCCACTCCACATCTTCAACACAAGCCGCATCAATCTCATAAAGCTTCCCAACCAACCAATAATCATCAGCATCCGACCATTTCTTCTCAGCCACTAAACTCGAAGTCAACTGCTCATACCACTTCCTACAACAAGTCGAATCACTTCTAGTTGTCAACTTCTCACTAATCGATGTCCATGGAATATTATCCCTCAACATCCCATGCTTTGACTTTTTCTCTTGACCCGTGATCTTCATTTGTAAATCCAAGTTGACCATATCGTATAGATTCTGATACTCATCTTGACTCCATTTCCCAATTTTTAAATTCTCAAGTTTGACTATTCTTCGCCACGTGTCCTTAACATGGAAACGGTGTTTACCGAGTTCTTCTGCAATCATTTTCCATTTGTTTCCGTGTTTTTTGTAGGATTCTTTGAGGAATTTGATCTCTTCGGGTGTCCATTGGCGGTGTTCGGATTGTTCAAAGAGGATGTGGGCCCGGTGGTAGATGGCGGTGTAAGGGCGGTAGGGGATGCAATTGCCGATTTCTTGCCAACATCTTTTCATACCTTTGTGGGATTTGCAATTTAGGATCATTTTTAAGCCGTCGTCTCCTAGGTTGTTGGAGATTATGTAGTTTTCGACGGCTTGTTTTACTGTTTCGTCTTCTTCTGGTGTGAATCTTTTTCCTCGTACTAGGTTGTCGGCGGATTTTGTTTTTTGTTGTCTTTTGGCGGTTGTGTTTGATGATGATGGGAAGATTTCTACTTCGCCCGAAAAGGTAACTTTTTTGGTTTTCTTTTTTTTGGGTTTTTTTGGGTCATCATTTTGTTGTTCCAAATTACCCTTATCTCCATCTTCATTTGATTTTGATTTCCTATTTTTTTTCTTTTCTTTTTTTGATTTTGGGGCGTCATTTGTTTGTGTCTTCTCGGAAGAATCCCTTTTCCTCTTCTTCTGTAAATCACCATTGTCTTCTTCCAAATTACCATTATATCCATCTTCATTTGCCTTTGATTTCTTCTTTTTCTTCTTTTCTTTTTTGGGTTTTGGGTCATCATCTTGGCTCAGGTTATTTTCTTTAATTACTGCACTCTCAGAAGAATCTTTTTTCCTCTTCTTCTGTAAATCATCATTGTCTTCTTCCAAATTACCATTATATCCATCTTCATTTGCCTTTGATTTCTTCTTTTTCTTCTTTTCTTTCTTGGGTTTTGGGTCATCATCTTGGCTCTGGTTATTTTCTTTAATTTGTTCACTCTCGGAAGAATCTTTTTTCCTCTTCTTCTGTAAATCACCATTGTCTTCCTGATTGGCCTTATCTCCTTCATCTTCATTGGATTCTGATTTCCTCTTCTTGTTCTTATGCTTATGAGGTTTCTCTTTTGGAAGAGCATCATCTATTTCTTCTGGATGATTATTGGTCATGTTCTTGCTTTTCTTCTTCTTCTTTTTTTCCATCATCATAGGCGAGGCATCTGCATCTTCCCCTGTATTGCCCATTTCTTATGCTTCTGAGCTTGTGTTTCTGCTTGAGACAAAAGACAAAGTCAGAGATAATAGATGCTACAAGAGAAAAGAACAACACTTGATATAAAAACTGGTACATACACTATTATTTTTCTTTTGATCAAATAGCTTCAGGTTCTGATATGTCCTCAAGAAATCTTTACAAAAGGTCATTGATGAGAAAAAAGGATTTCAAACTCTTACATGGTAGAGAAATGTAGACTAGGGACAAAAGTTGCATCATATGCATCAAAGATGAGAACTTGCAATTACAAACTTTAGCAAAAGATGATGTTTTTAGAGCACTATGGAGAGAATATCGTTTGATAAGTTGATCAATGGAGCTAGTTAGACTACAAGGGAGCTTCATGATACTAACAGAACGAGGATGCCTTCTTTAAGAACAATATAGACTCAATCTTTATTTGTATATGAAAAAAAGGCACATAATGTTCAGTTAATACATAGAAGCTGAAACTACAGCATCATTTCATTCTGCACAACCAACTAACAAGTAAAGATAGGTATGATTTCAAGCAAATTGAGAAGCATTCTGTTGCTTTTACATTTTCTGATTTATGAATAGAATTGAAGCAGTCGCATACACCAGTAACAATAAACACAAAATCCATCTTACAATAGTATCAACATATACCACTATACCAGTAACTTTAATTTTACCATATGTACTAATACACAACAACAACAACAACAACAACAACAACAACCTGTATACAAGATTTCTTACTGTTTCGGATTCTAGAATTCCTCACTGCTCAGAAGTTTAATTTAAAATCTAAAACCCAATAAAGATATATTCTTCAAAACCACGTGACAAGATGAAGTTATGAGCTAAACTAAAATCGGCTAGGCTTGATGATGTCGATAAAGATAACGGAAATAAAGAATCGACGGAGAAGAAAAAGAGATTATAAGAGTTGAAATCAACCTGTATGATGATCGATTAAGAAGTAGGAGACAGTGAAGTCCAAAACTTTGAGGGTTTAATGATCTATCGGAGATACCGGGGGCGTGCAACGATGAGTGGCGGCGGCAATTAACGATGGGCGACGATATACTGGGGAGAAGAGGGCTCCGCGTAAGAAAGGGGGAGAAACGAGGGTAAATAGGTAAAATAGACGGGGTTTTGATATTTTATTGCAAGGAGTGACAAGGACTAAACTCAAAGAACCTTTCGGTCTTTTTTTTTTTTTTTTTTTTTTTACTTGGAAAGTTGGACCATCCTTTGTTTTTTGGTTTTGTTTCATGTTTAATCCCTCGTTTTTTGGTTTTGTTTCATGTTTAATCCCTCAACTTAAAAGACAAATATGTCATTCTCTAATTATTTTAACTTTAACTTTATTTTTATTATTATTCGTATGTTATTTATGTTTATCCATTTATTTCATTTATTATTATTTAATGAGACCCATTAATCTATATCAACCTCAACAAACTAGTCAACCACCATCACCTCTGACAACAACCACCACCTCCGACAACAAGAAGAGTCTCAAAATCAATGGAGAAATATAGGAACTCTACTTATAAAAACCATAAATCAACTCCACCTATCAAAATACAAATGAAGAAAAATCCCAAAATCAATGGAGATAAAAGGTCGCGTTCCAAAACAGTAGGCGACGACTAGGGTTCCGAGAATAGTGGAACGAGAGGCTAGGGTTATTTTATGGTGAAATTACCGATGAAAAAGGTGATAAACCATTAGATGGGGGCGGATCTATGGTTCGGTTTTTGGCGAGATAAAAGAAGCCTCCGTGTGTGGTGGTAGTGCTGGCATCAATGACTAGGGTTCTGGTGAGATAAGAGAGGAACGAGAGGCTAGGGTTGGTTTCTGGTGAAATTCTCGGCAACAAAACGATAAATCAGCAAAGACGGCGGACCTAGGGTTCAGTCTCGATGAGATCGGATAAGCTTCCATGAGTGGTGGTAGTTAGGCGGTATAAGGTGGCGCAAAGTCGTTGGCGTGAGGTTGCAGACAATGTCAATGGATCTGGGTGTTGTTTTCGGAGGTGATGGTGGGGGAAATCACTGGTGTCAATTATCTAGGGGATCTTGAAAAGATAGAGGTTCTGGGAGAAATCACGATGATGTACTAATACTTGATAGCCATGGTAACCTGGTTGTACAATTATACATATGTTTTAGCAAATTGATGAATTTTTATTAGCCTTATGACTATAAAAATAAAGAAAAAAATAAATATAAAAAAAATAAGTAAGGGTAATACTGTAACAGGCCAAAATTTCAAGTAAAAATTTTCATTTAAATATTAACAATCCATGTTTAATAATTAGAAATTCCCATCATAAGTTGTTTCCAAAATTCAATACATCATCATATTATTCAAAAAGACCAGATTGTCCATAATAACTAGTGGGAAAAGTGCTGGAGAGTGCACGCTGCGCCACCAAGTCGGGCCCTTGCCCTTAGAGCTAGAAGTACCTGAAACATCCAAAAAAACTATAAGCACACGCTTAGTGAGTTTCCTAAAACATACGAAACATATAATCACATAATGTCATGCACACATTCATATAAGGTTGTCATGGACTCCCTCCATGGTCTTCACTTGGAATGTCATGGGCTACCCCATGGTCTTATGTTCCCGAGCCATGGGCTCCTCCCATGGTCTTGCCAAGTGCCATGGGTTTCTCCCATGGTCTTCACATAATTCACATATAGATCAAACAACAACCATGACATATTCCATAACTAAACATTTCATATCAATTAATGGGCCGAACTTGGTGCCTTCGACCCATGAGTGTAGTGAGAAGACTCACCTCAAATATTGAATGATAGCTGACTAGGTCTTGGCTCCGAATATCAGCTCTACTCAACCTCTAAATAGAAACAATTCCTTAAATACAACTCAAAATGCCCTAAAACCCCTTAAAAGTCAAACTTGGTCAAAGACTAAAGTCAAAGGTCAAAGTCAATGGTCCGAGTTGACCCAACTCGCCGAGTTGTCCTTCAACTCGTCGAGTTTTTCCATTATCTGCACAGATCCGGAAAAACTCTCATCAACTCGCCGAGTTCACTAATGAACTCGCCGAGTTAGCCAGAAATCCAACAACTTAATGCATTAAGCTGTTTCCATCGAATCTAGGAATTCCAATTCTAATATCTCCTTTAAAATGATGACTAGAAGGGTAAAGTTTCAACTTTACCCTTAGTAACCATCCAAAGTGAGTCAAACCCAAACCCTAGACTCATTAGAGTGATGCTTGACCCATTAAGCCCTTAAACTCTCAAAACAAAGTCCCAACATACAGATCTGGCCTCCAATGGCTGGAAAATCACGTAAAGTTTCCAACTTTACGTCCATGCATGCTAAAGGAAACCCTAGGGATCAATATGGGTTTAATAAAGGACTTATTGCATAAATGAGACCTAAGACCTAGTAAAGTTTGCAACTTTAAGCCAAATGAGGCCATAAAATGGCTAGATCTAACATGAAAACCCCTGGAACACTCAACTTCTTGGACAACTCAACCATGAGCCCAAAATCAAGATAAAACCCCAAAACAATAGATCTAAACAATAGCAAAGCAAGGTATAAACTTGATACCTTCAAATGACTGAAAAGAGTGGGGAGATTTTGGATCAAGATCTTCCCTCCAAGCTATGCTCCTTCAACTTCAAAGATCCACCAAAAGTGTGCAAAATATCAACACTTAAGGCCCTCCATAAGCTCACACACTCACAAGGACGATGATACACACTTTTAGGGGTTTTCTGGACAGAGGAGGATGGTAAGGAGGCCAACCAAGAGACTTAAGGCCTTTAAATAGGGTGCAACACCCTAAAAATTAGGGTTTCCATCCCAGCCGCCAACTCGCCGAGTTGAGGCACCTCAACTCGTTGAGTTGGCTCATTAATTCCCGCGGCCAAAGTCCATTCCCCACACCGAGTTGAAGCTTCCAACTCGCCGAGTCCAATAGGAAAAATTAACAGTTTAGGGGAATAAATTCATACTGGAACCAAGAATTACAAATCTCCCCCCACTTGAATCATACTTCGTCCTCGAGGTCCGCTGCCTCGAACAACCCCGGGTAATGCTCCATCATCTCCTCCTCGGGCTCCCACGTCCATTCTTAGCCCTTCCGGTGCTGCCATTGCACCTTTACTAGCTTAACTTCTTTGTTCTATAGGGCTTTTTTTCCCGTCCAGAACCGTAATGGGCTTCTCCACATAATTCAGGCTCCCATCAACCTGAATATCATCCAAGGAAATGACTGCAACCTCACCAGCAACACACTTTCAAAGCTGAGACACGTGGAAGGTGTTGTGGATCTGACTGAGCTCATCCGGTAGATCCAATCGATAAGCAACCCTGCCAATTCGGGCAGAAATCCTGAACGGACCAATAAATCGGGGCCCCATCTTGCCCCTCTTTCGAAACCGAATGACACCCTTCCATGGTGACACCTTCAGCAAAACACAATCCCCCACCAGAAACTCGAGGTCCGAACGGCGCCGGTCAGCATAACTTTTATGACGGTTCTGCACGACTCGCAACCTGTCACGCACCTGCTGAATCAACTCGGTGGTCTTAAGCACCACCTCAGTGCTTCTCATAACTCGATGTCCAACCTCCCCCCCCCCAGCAAACTGGAGTCCTACACCTCCGACCATACAACATCTCAAACAGGGGTCGGTCAATACTAGCATGATAACTATTTTTACATGAGAACTCTGCTAGTGGAAGGTAATTATCCCCAACTCCCTCCGAAATCCAATACACATGCCTAGAGCATATCTTTGAGTGTCTGGATCGTTCGCTCGCTCTGACCATCGGTCTGGGGGTGGTAAGTGATGGGTTTTACACAAAATAACATCCTATATACTCATGCAAACCCTAAAGCTTGGATTTAGGCTTCTCTATTGTACATGCAATTCATCCAAGACTTTTAAACCCTAGATCTAGTGTA